TCCTTGTCTCACACCGCTGGAGATATTGAAGGGTGGCGACAACTTGCCGTAAGCCCTCACTCTGCCCGTGCTACGCGCATATAGTGCTTGGATAATATTTACATATTTCTCGGGCACACCTTTTCTGGGTAAACAATTCCAAAGAGCACATCGTTCAACCGAATCGAAGGCACCTTTGATGTCGAGGAACACGACTAGGGTGGGCCGCCAATATGTGTGACGGTGCTCCAACAACTGACGCAAGGTGAAGATGTGGTCGATGCAGCCACGACCCAGACGAAACCCGGCTTGCTCCTCACGAATCTGGCTTACACGAGCGCCAGTTACTCTGTGAAGAATTTTGGAGGCGATGGAGATCAGACTGATCCCTCTATGGTTGCTGCATTCCGAGCGCGAGCCGCCTTTGAAGATGGGAACAATAAGGGAGCGGCTCCAGTCGGTTGGGACAGTTTCCTGCTCCCACAGTTTCACTAGTAATTCATGTAAAGCATCAACAGGAGCAGAGCCTCTGAATTTGAAGAGGGCCGGAGGAGGATCATCTGGTCCCGCGGCTTTGTTCAACTTCATCAGTCCGATCTTACGTTCGACTTCTGAGCGAGAGGGTGGATCCAAAGGGACAGCCCACGGAGCAGGGCCATCAGTGGCCGGCGAAGAATCGAACAATTCTAGCCGATTAAATTGCTTTTCAAAATGCTCAGCCCAACGCTCCAAACGCTTTGACAAATTGTGGATAGGCTGTCCACTCTCGTCGCGTATAGTTTCACTAACACCAGGTCTCCTGTTGCCCGTTTCCCGTATCAGACGGAATAACTTACGATGGTTGCCAAGGGCAACGGGCACTTCCATCTCTGACGCACGATGAGACCACCAAGATTCACGGTCTCTCTTCAGGCTAGCGCGGAGTTTTGCCCGGAGCTCTTTGCGAGTTTCATTGTGCTCGCTTCCAGCCGGGATATGCCGGCGAGCGTCGATAAGTTCCAGAGACCGAGAAGTGACCCAATGTCCATATGGGCTTTTAGACATACCACATGAGGATTTGGCTGCTGCTAGTAATGTCTGGTGAACATGTGACCGGTGACCATCAATTGTCTCCAGTGAGCGATTACTCAACTCGCATGTCAGCGTACTTCGATACGCATTTAGAACAGCTGGCTTCGCCAGATGGCTGGTGTCAATGCGCTCACAGCGTCGTCGTGGGTGTCCGCCGAAGCGCATCCGCATGTCAGCACATACAAGTGCATGGTCGGTGTCCACACATGTGCTCCAAATCGAGCGACAATTCTGGATGCAGCCTCTCCAGCGGTAACTAATAGCAATGTGATCGATCTGCGTCCAAGATTGGTTCGAGGCTGGTGGGCGCCAAGTCACCCTCCAACGGGTGCTGTGTCGGAAATTAGTGCTCGCAAGAAATAGGCGAGTATCTTCACAAAAATAAAGTAACCGCTCACCGTTATCATTACAGGAGCCTACACCGTGCTGACCACTCAGATGCATTTCATCAGTGGACAACTTTTCAACTTGAGCGTTCATATCCCCCGCCAGCACAACAGTGTCCGTGCTTCTTCAGCTCCTTCGACCTGAGTCATTTTGCGGTAAAAGTCGTTCTTCACCGAATCATCGCCACAGTTTGTGGGCGCTAGGCATCGATGATGAATAGATACCTATTAGTCCCGCGCGATTTTGAAGCTTTAAACGAGCCAGCCAATCGGACCGCACGCATCCGGCTACTGATTGGAATCCAATCAACCATAGCAGCTTCAGCCCGGGGACTCAGGGCAATGCCAACATCAGCTTGGCCAGTGCTCAAAGCTGCATCGTCACCGGATAGGCGCACTGAGAAACTACTGTTTGCGTCACCTGGAGGGGATCTCAGAGTGAGCACAGAGCTCGAGTCTTGCAGGCGGGTCTCCGATAAGCAGCAGATATCGATCGAGAGGGTGTCTAATGTCCGGGCAAGTGCTGCCTGTTGACCGATTTGTAGTAGTGTGCGTACATTGAGGCATGCCAATCTGAAGGAGGATCGAGGGCTCCAAATGGAAGCCAATGAACTGGAATGAGCTGCTTGGTTGGACATGGGCTTGTCGACAGGAGAGGAGTGACGCTCCGCGTTGACATGTGAGTTGAAACTAGAAGATAAATGCCTAGCAAAGCATGTTGGGGGAGGGCCAGGAATCGGGCGGTTGGAAACTGGGGGGATATAAGTGAAGTTGGAAGGGGACGGTAAGAGTGAAAAAGCGTAAGGGTGGAATAAGAAGACTGGAAGGCTTGAGCAGTAACATCCAAACCCCTATCCACACTGCTCGATGCAGCTGATAGGGCACCGTTGATTATCCTCTGCGGTGGCCAGAGCATCAGCAATTTGTTTGAGGTAAGATTCATGGTATTGCGTAGGCAGGATACTGTCAGGTTGCCCAGGCCTGTAGAGGAGAACAATTAGGGTTCTCAACCAAAGCCTTTGGTTCAAAAACCTGACCGCAATGCAGCGGGCTTGGCGTTTGGCTACAAGGAGTCCGTTTTAAGGAATAAGGTGCCACCCTCATTTCAACCCCCAACCTGGAGGACCAGGAAGCTGAGTTTGTCTGGCCTCTAACCATTGACCAATTTGGTATGAGTGGCTCTGAAGGTTCAAATAGTACCACCCAGCATAGCTCACTGGATCGCTGAGGCACACAAACCATCGCACCACGGTAAGGTCCAGCCTCATTGCGATGGGCTTGGAGCCGATAGTGTTGAACGTAATGTATCCGTTGGTGCCAAAGCACTAGGTATTCAGCCTCGATGATCCGAATAAATTTCTAAATACATTAAATGTTTTATCATTTAAAACGTACAGGAACACTATGAAATGCATAATAAAATGTTCGTTTTCCGGAACCATGTTCAGCTTCTCATGTGTTTGCATGTGACCACTCTATGGACTGCACAACTTGACGGAATTGTCTATAGGTGATGTCCGTGTGAATCACCGCAGGCCATGTACCTTACTCGCGTTCCGTAGGCTGTCACCGACTCTGTCGTTGTGGTTCATTGGATTTCATCTAAGACCAGTTATGTTTCATTGCTACCGTTTGGCACAACGACAATTCATTTGAACTGAGGCTTTGCCGCCGCAAAACCACAACGACGTACAGCAGGAAGAGCAACAGTTACAAGCACCTTACTATCGAGCAAATATAAGGCGGCATCAGCGAGACAGGTTTTTTGCGGCTTTCACTGCCCCACCTCATAATTGCCGTCGCAGCGAGACTGGACCTTCACGTGAGGCGACGGTTTGCATGCCTCTTCGATCTATTGAGTTACACTGAGTTGTGCCATATGGCTCTTTGAGAGCTGCTCCTACCAAGTTCGTCAGTGGTTAGAGACTAGATGAACTAAGTATTCTGATCCTCTAGGTTGGGTTTACGAATGGGATGCCGTCCATTTCTGTAAAACCGGATCGCTGCCATTCTCCGCTGTCTTGTGGACGGACTTTGAACTCAAGATTTTGGTTGAGGACCCAAACCATCCTCCTCTCTAGGTTTGGCTACCCTGGCATTATCTCAGCTTACGTACTACCATGACGACAGCCGACCATCACTAATTAGAAGTCACCTGGACCTTCAAGCTTGTTGTTAGAATCATAACTGCAATCGATTAACTCAGTTCACTACAATCCGAAAACCGGAGTGCGATGAACTCCGTTCCAAACTTTGGCACGTCATACTACCGAGTTTTAGTGACGACCGTGAAAAAAGTCATGGGTACTATACAACCGGGCTAATATTAGAATGTAAGCACGTGCTAGAAGACTGCGATCGCCATATGGAAGGATTAGTAGTCATATACAGTAGAACGACGATAGACTCAGATATATCGGAACGTGTCCTCAGCTGTTAGTACAACCGATGCAGTGGACCAACCGGGGGAACAGCATACGTCAGCCCGACTACGCCATCGATCGGTGGATTGGCGCCTGTTTACCACGTCATCGGCTAACCACCTTAGTGTTGCACTTAGCCACCTGAAGTTTCGGCAAGTAGAACATGCAGAGATAGCCGGTTGTGTAGCGTGCTTAACACTACCTAATTAATGCTTAAGGTTCAAGTTTAACAGGCTGTTCAGTATGTAACAGAGGGCCCAATGCCCATGCCCAATTTTGGGCCGCAAGCATTTTTGTACTGGAATTCCCAGTGCACATACACTGTGTCCTGCTAACACTAGCAGCCAAAAGTCATCAATGTAATTAGACCTACAACGCGCAGTGGTCATTCCTCTCCCTCACACGTTGATACCGGCCACGATACAACGTTGGAAATGCAACCATTGACGAATAAGCGGTAGCACGATTAGGTTGTAATTTTTGAAATATGTGAGGTTACAAGATGCTCTCCCCTTCACAGTGAATCCCCGCAAATCTAACTATCAACGAATCAAGTGATGTGGTGCGTTTTACTGTAACTGTCAATTACTTTATTATTGGCTATACAATTGAAGACTGGTAGATCAGGTTGTTCAGATGGCGGTTGAACTGTTCGCTGAGTTTGACAATTTTACTACAAATGTTTCGTCACTGATCGAGGTGACATCATCAGTGCGTAGTTGAGTGACATGCAATAGCGTAGGGGAGCACTCTCATCCAGACTCCTCTACGCTACTGCCCGCCACTCAACTACGCACTGATGGTGTCACCTCGATTGGTGACGAAACGTTTGCAACAAAATTGCCAAGCTCAGCGAACAGTTCAACCGCCATACTTTATTATTTCTTGCATGCTTCTTTCTTCATATTGTCTGTTTTGCGGAATCAGCCGATTAAATGTCTTTATAAGCGCTAATACTTTCTATTTCATGGCTCCCTCAAGTGCACTTTTGACTGCATGTTTCGCGTACTATTCAGTGATCCGCCCAAGCGGACGACAAATTTTCCATCAGCTAATAGCAGGCGATTATTTACGTGGTCATATTTTGTTGCCTACTTCCCATCATTTCGGTGATTTTAAACACAGTTCTCCAATCTAGCGAATGATATGGGTGCATACCCCTCTGCTCCTCTCCTATCTTCCAGGCACTCGGAGCTTCATGTCGGGTACGGCCAGCTCCGGCGCAAAATGCGTCCGTACTGCAAATACTCACACCGATCACTCCACTGCTTCTTCTTCTCGCCAGATGTCTGCTCCCGTTCCCTGTAACAGCATCAAACGACCGGTCACTTCTACTCGTCTCCGACAGCCTGGAAAGCCCACACAGGGTCGGGCCATTGCCTCCAGTAGATCTACCACTGGCACTTTTGCCGATCGTCTTTCGGTAAAATTTAAACTCGATAAACCGAAAAGCCTCGACTGGACTTCCACTCTAATGGCCGAGTTAGAAGCGTATGAGGACCCTAAAGCGTATCTGTTCCATCGAATGTTTCAAGGTTCAGAGCTTGCTGAAGCCGTTACGGACGATGTTTTCGAATCCGTTATATCCCTGTCCTTTTCATCATCCCATAAGACAGTTTCACCGCCTGGTGCGAATGCTGACCCCGACCCTACCCTGCCAGAAGAGCCATCTCAACACAACTCGTCCCTCCCCGTGCGGTGTACAGCCACACGTCAAAAGCCCCCTAACATCGGAAACGTTGTAACGAACAGAGTACGTCCCAAAGTGCATTCGATTAACGTTTAATAGTGTTTGCTATTGTTTCATAGTCGGATTATCTGCATACAGTGTACTTGATACCGTGCTGACTGCACCCTAAGGCTGATTATGACGCCGAACAACGGACGCCTCGAGGAAGTTGTTTCATCGATAGCCAACTGTTTTTAGTCGTGTGTCCTTGGTAAGACATAGGCACCTTAACTCTTGAATTTTAGGTTTCACGCTAAATCATCATGGTTTTACTGCAGCGAGTCATTTGTCCGAATTACTGCTGCACTGATACTATTATTGAATACTGAGTATTGAAAATATCAAACCCTGGGGACGGAGATCTGTGTTCCTTCATCACGCACGCGGGATAACGCCAGTTATTACCGCGCACTGTGATCCGCAAAGTGGGCATCTAGGAATTTATTAAACTCCTACACCGATTTCGCCTCAACTATCGCTTCGGGTAGACTGTTATCCTATTTCACCGCTCGAAGCTTAGAGTGGGTTATCTGTTTCAGGTCCTGTACCGATGCGCACCAGCAAACTGGACTGGCAGCGCAGTTTGAATAGTCGAACCAGCGAGCGCCATGCGAAGCCGATGACACAAGCGTGTTTCCTCGCCTCACACGAAATAAATGCAAAGCGGTTTTGTAGCTTGTCCACTCACACGCACGCACGCACTTTGCAGGACGACAGGTCGTTCTTCACCTTTTCCATTCTTATTGGTGCGTTCAGTTACCCGTGCTCGGACTACAACCAAATATATTACTTTGCTTACTTTTTATACCTGGTGATCGAGAGCATTACACATCTTTCTTGTAATCCGAAGTTCACCGACTCTAATCCGCGTAGTTGCCGGCGACCTCGCGGTAAACTAAACCCTCGCGAGACTGCGTGGTCACTCGGCAGCGATGCGTCTCATTTTTTCTTGTCCAGTGGCTTCATTGATGATGGCTTTTTACTCTACACTTTGATCATTATAATTCTAGTGCGCAGCTATGTTGACACAAATTAATGGCAATAAAACCAAACGATGAAAGAAGTGCTAATACCAACTGTAGAAAGTCGAACGGAGAAACGTTCAAATCGTCTGACAAAACAAATATTGCAAGTAGCAATAGCGCCATTGGTCCAACTATTCTGGGTGGCGAAAGCGCGACACACAGCTTGGTATGATAGCAGCATTTCTTTCATCAGATACCACTAGGTAGTCTCGTCTGCTGTGTACTACACATCCTCGATTGATTCTCTTGGGATTCGTGCCCCAAAATGCAGTGGGTCCAGCTGCCATAGCACCATACGACAATGAGTGGAAAGATATCGCAAAAATGAAGTGGAGGACAGAGTCCAGTTGGTGAATGATACTAAGAGGTGGAATCAAAGCTACAGGTTCCAAACTAACGTTATCCTCAAGTTTTTGCTGTGCCTCACATGATTTCTAGTAATCGATCGAGTCGAGGCAAGCGACGTACATTAACCTGACTCAGTCCTTTGCCCGCTTAATCTGTGTCCTCTTATTATGCCATTGCCGGTTCATCTGAGATCCACTGCCTACGAACGTGTGAAAGACGGTCGGACCCTGGAGGTTCCCTCGATTTCCAAACACAATCCAGCGTTTCACCAGATTGTCTAGTTCCAAACATGAACTAACAAGCTCCGCTCTTACCTATCCAATGCTCTTATCAAATTTGGACTACATTTCCAATCATCAATGGCCAGTCACTTCCTACTGACTAACCTCTCTACAATGCAATAGCGATGTCGCTGGTCTATATGGCAATACTTGTAGCTTCACAGTGTCGCACACTCTGCGTTTGAGTTACAGACTTCTGTTTCACTATCTGTGAGAACAGATACTGGAAAGCCACAAGAACTCTATCGATGCGTGCAGTTGCCCTTTCCGTGCTGGCCTAATAACAGCCTCACTAATCTATCCGATTTTCGTATGCATCAAGCTGTGTTGACACTTAACTTCCGAGTCATCGCAAGGCATTGTAGCTTATTCTGATCCGTTTTCCCCTCCACCTAACGGTGGCGTTTAAGGAATTGTTTCACATTTATCCTCTGTGAAGGAGAGAACCGAGAAGAGAAATGATGACTGTCGACGGGGTCTCATGGTCATAAGGTATCTTCTGATGATACCCCTTCGTCGGAATATGCACTGTTTAAATTCGACTAAGTAGCCTACCCGATTACGCAGTGAGGAATGAGTCTAGTATTAGTAAATCATTGCAAAATTTCGCGTGACCGGTTGAGGTTGATTGCATACAACCTTGGAATCAGCTGAGATGTTTGTGCATGGTATTCGGCCGCAACATGTGATACTTCTGTGAGATGGTCAGCTGCCGTTGAGTTTTATCAGTTTCGCATGTTGTTGACAACGTGCTCGGTTCTTGGCGAGCGGTTTACAACCACGACATGCTCGTTATCTTCCATGGTTAAGGATTACTCCTGATGCTCATGATGTACATCATTCTGGCTGTGCCTATAGCCGATGGGAATAAGGACTGGAGCAAGATAGTCATGTTCTTCCTAAGTTTTTGTGAGGAAGATGATGGGGCTCAGTCAGTAACGGTCGGGAAGTGCCTCGTTGACTTCTAACGTTCAGAAGCTCTTTCTTTATTGTGTTAGTCACTTTTTTAACCACCTTTTTGACGTGACTACACCCTACTACCACTTGCATGTTCATGGATGCTGTACTGGTTCTTCGCTCTCGTCGGCGCACCTCAGTAAATATTTCGCGTTCCGAAGATGGCAGCAAGACTAATAAAGCTCTCCGTTTTTCATCCTGGTTCTCTTACACATTGTTAAAGTTCATCTCTCGTGGTAAATAGATCCGGTTAGTTTTTAGACATACTCTGATTCCTAATTACCGTTTCTGAATTTTATATCTTTTTCGTTTGTGTCCAACCATCTCTACTTCATTCCAAATCGATCGACAGTGTGTTGTGATTTCCGTATCATAACGGCGTAGAGCGAGTCATTAGCTTACCTCATTTTAAGTCTGGGTGACTTTACATTGTCCCGACTCGTATGCAATCGCTGATGGTTACGCAACAGTAGAGCTCCGGCTTACTCCTGCCATCTTTCTCCTTACAGCCAGCGATCTAATCGCGATAGTTTGGTCACCAGTACTCCACAGTCACCATATGTGTATTTGTTGTACCGCTCCTCCCTTCCGGAGGTTCCTGCACTGATGCCTGTGTTTTCGGCTTCCACCCAGTGTAATTACCAAACGAGGTTTTTCTCTGGACACGAACTCGGTGATTACAGTTGTACTTGGTGCGTATTTCACATCCCATTTTCTTAAACACTCGCCTTGCTAGTCGTATTTGACTTACCTGGGTGCTGGTCTGAATCAATATGTAATCTTGGTGATGGGCAAAGAAAGGCACTGGTAGTACGCTGGTGCGCAGTGCCGACGCTCCGCTGCTGCTCAGCCACCACCAATCGCCCATGGGTTAAGGATACTGCGTGGGTCACCCGGTACCATACGCAGGCTGGAATCCATGCCCTCGGATTACAAGGTAGGCTTTGATACTTAAGGCTACGGGCTGGCGCTGTGAGCTTAGTGTTCGCTATCCTCGACTTTTCATATCTAGTTTCACTGTTAACAACCCTTCCTCACTTTTAGTGCACGTTAGTTTTGATATGGTATTCCTTTTCTCATTTGTGGAATTGCTTTGCGAATGGGTCATTCACATCAGTATTCGATGTACATTTATCACTGGCCGAAGTTATTCGAACTGACAGCTGATGAGTTAGCTTTGTCACGCTGTCCATCAGTTAGAGTACATTAATGTGTATATATTTTGTGCACTGTTAGAGTCATTCAACAAGAAGAGGGAAATCATTGGCATACATATTCCGGTTACCAAACAAACGGGAACTGCCTGATCCACTTCCCCTCGTTTAGCAATTACTCCTCTCGGAGATCTTTCAATTACATTTCTCACTGGTGAGCAGTACTGATGTTGGTAGGCGTGTGTTGCATGTGTTTGACCGCGCGGTTATTGGCAAACGTTCAGCTATTCTCCGCCACCTCTCCATCCACATATCTAATCTCGTGTGGATTGTGTTTGGTTTCTCTGTGCATAAATGCTGAGATTATTTTTGCCCGGCCAATTTGTCGGGTAAATTTAGTTGTTTTGCCATGTCGCTACCCTTGAAGCAGTCAGGTGGAACTAGTGTGGGCGCTCCGCTTGTTTCGTACTGCGATATTTTCTTTAATTTAATTTGTCCATACTGCTGTTTCTGCTTTCACAGTTGAAGGAGGTCAACGGAAGGCATCCCGGCGATATCACCGCCGTGGCAGACGGTATTACAACGGCAGTAAACCTCAAGGAAGGGGAACTTTCATCTCCTTCGAAGCTCACTGCGATACCCTCCGTTGTCACATCTAGCTTAACATCTCATCAAAATGTCCCTAACAGCACCGTATGTCTTGCATCTCCATCCACGATCTCGCACACATCGCCTATGCCACGGGAAAAACCGCTTCGTATTACTGATCAGGCGGATACGTCAGAACTCCTCAACTACTCCTTGATAGTGGGTGCATCTGTGACTAGTCTTGCTCCGAGTGATGCGGGCACCTACGTCATCGCGAAGCACCACACTTTGACGGACGAGAGCTTTTTTATACACCATGAACCCGAACCTGATTCCCTCACACCTCGTGGTAGTCTCGTAGATTTGCTGGAAGTACCAGAGATGCCTCAGGCTAGCTCTTCGACAGATCCTATCTCCGCAGATTATGACCCGGAATCCTCACAAATGACACGCAGGGATCTCGTCTACCAAGGCACTGGACCAGAATATATAGCAACCTCGAGGCATTTAAACACCGTAAGTAAATATTTTCACCTATCCCATTATGTGACTTGGTAAATTGACTCAGTCTCTATCGTTCACGTCCGAATGGGGTTGATGCAACAACCGTTGTACATTATTCTGCACATTAGCTAGCTATTGTGCCACAATGCAATCCAGTCAGACACCGCTTTTGATGCAGTAGTACACTTAGGCATGCCATTTGTTTGATGCGGAAGCTTTCCGAACATTTCTATCCGTTCTACTCCATTAATACAGAAATGTCGTCCCCTTTCAAGTGTACCACTAGCTCTCTTGAGTCATTCAATAAACCCATACGTTTACGAGGCACAACTTTCCTGCCTCCATAATCCGACGATCCAGTCTGGGGAACAGTTTGCAGACAGTTTGCAGAACCCCATGCATTCGGTCAGTCTGGAATTTGCGGCCACACTACTTCACTGTCATTGTCCTCCATGTTGAGTCTGGTGCATCATGCTTCCAATTACTTCTAGTCACATCGGCACGATTGATGTAGAACAAGGGATGCCTTGACAGTGGACGAGCGCACCTGTTTCTCGTTTGGTACTGCCATTCGTTTACACCCCACCAGCCACTTGTCAATCGAACAAGTGTCCACCAAAATATAGATGTTCGTTGTCTCATGTTGTCAGGAGACATATTGGTTATTCCAACTCTATAGTATCTGCTTGTGATAGGCATACATCAGGTTCTCGCAGGGACTCTGCATTCAAATTTTCTATCACAATTCACTCTTTACTACCGTGTTGAGCATATTAATAATAATAATAGTACTACTGATAATAATGTGTCAGCTGTACGCCGTAACGGTCCTTAGCTGCCGTATGACCAGTCGCAGGCGGGACGAGTATACCGCGAGGACACCCACCCCTACGCGGGTTCGAACCCGCGCCGCAAGATTACAAGATTGCGCATATTAATAGAGCAAGTAGCCCAGACGGGATTTTCCGATGGATCCCATGTGTGCTCCGCAGCTTTGCCAGCCAGACCAAATGTAAACCATGGGACTAAACTTTCTTTCTGAACCAAATGGCCAGAGCATATCGATAGCTTTAGATCAGTGGTTCTCAACCTAGGGGTAATTACCCCCAGGGGTTAAAATCGAATTTTACGGGGGTAAATATACGTACGATGCTTGGGTCATCGATCAGTCGCCAAGCAAAGTTAATAACAAAATTATCTGTATCAAAACATATAACTACTACCAATGAACTAGCCATCAGTCACTAATCATTAGTTAGTGGTTAGTGAATCAGACAATTTTCGGTAACAAGTTTTTTCATACCTAGAATGCAAATACACGCCTCCCAAGCAGTGCACCTAGATGGTGCCTCTATCGGCTCGCTCTTTGATCGTTGTTCTTTGATTCAGGCAGTTGTTCGCCGGGTCGATTTGCAGACTTGAGTAAACACTAAGTGGGAGCACATATCACCCGACCAGGCAAAGGAGCGATTGAATGTTTACAGGTTAAAAGGGACAAAACAGGCGACTGGTGTTCAGAGTGATGGTAGCAAGGTGTCATCCAAAACGGACTTAAAAGGGGTATTTGAAGCAAAGATAACTCACTGACATTTGTTCATGTTTGAGGAGGGATCACACACCCAAGCAAGGAACCGAATGAATCTGGAACACAACTTACGATGTGCATTAGCCAAAACCACTCCTACTGTACGAGAAATTATTTCAACTAAATAATATCAACCGTCTCATTAACGTACATCGACTATTGAGTTCATTTAAATTGTTCTAAAAAGCTGTTTTATTTGAATGTTAAATGTAATTAAAAATAACATTAATTTCCGTAATAAAAGCAAAATTGTAATACTTTACAGGTAGTTCGATTTTAAAAACTAAAACTTTTTAGGGGTAATTATTCATAGTGAACCCACTTTGTGGGTAACATCCGAACCACAGCTTTAGACCATAGTCCGGGTCCCCCTTTTTGTCGGTTATTTAGAATATAGCATTCTTGCACCCCTTACTCGCGCTATTCACAAACCACCGCATTTTATTTGGTGTGCAGCACGCGCACTAGTCCGCGTTCTGTATTACAAAGACGCGTTTGAGTCGATAAAACTCGCAGGGTGAAAACAGTGAGGGTTTTCTTCTAAAAATTGTGGGGATTATCTAGATTTCATAAAAACCCGGTTTGTGTAAGCAGTCACCATACACAGAAAAGCACTGGATGCTGTCTAGTCATTTCTGATCACATCAACAGCGGAGATAGTCCTTTATTCCTGAGAGCAGAGCGTTGTCTCTTGAGGTCAAGTCTGTGGATGCACGCTCCTTGAACACGTGAACGTGTTCATACTCATCAACTATGTGCTCACCTGTGATTGTTGACGTGGCATTTACCGAGTAGACTGCGGAATCGTAACATTACCTTGTGAGACATCTCATCATGTGAATCTGGGCTTTTGAGCAGTAAGACGAAATAACCTGTCCTTCGGCCTTGCACATCGAGCAAGGAATCAAAAATTGACAGGATTGTTTAGCAATTCGGAACTGGTCATTGGTGGATAGCGTTAGAAAAGAACTGTTTGATTGGCTTGTCGCTCTACCTTGCCATTTGGAATTCAGGTGCCAGTGACTTGTTTCGGTATTATGGTCCCATATGGGCAGCAGGATTGTACTTGGGAGCAACACTGGTACAGAACAACGTAATCTATTTGACGCGTGGGTCAGAACAAATTACGAGAAATCCTTGATGCCTAGTTGCTTCGTCATACATTGTGACTCGCGATTTTATCGCTCCCAGTCTGCGCTCTTGATGCTCAACATTGGAATACGGTAGTAGACGGATAAACCCTGATAGATTAAATCTGGACATTTTCCTTTAAAAGTAACATTTCTGTGCTTCTTCACTTCTATCGGTTCGATCGGTATTCTTCATGTCCCTCCTTATCGTATGTAACCCGCGTATCTGTGTTCGTGATTCGACCACCGTTAGGCGCACAGTTCCAATCGATCGGTTATTGTGTTGGATACCTGACAAAGTACTTGGTCTCACTTAACATCCTGCAATGTTCTAGTTTGTACTATTCGCTCTGATAGGACAGTCGATTTAATGGGTGTTGTTGGTCCTTCCCACCATCCATGCTTGGATCGCAACCTTACGGGTCACCCGCCTACCGGCACTAGGAACGTGTGTGCCGGATCGTTTATTTGCACTGTGTCTGTGAAATGGTAAGGCTGATCATGACGCGGGCTGTGTAAGGTGCAAAGTAGTTGTATCACTATTCCCTCCTTATCTGTGCATAATAGCCAGCTGTTTGTGAAGGTTCGTTGCTGGCGTGGCGTAGGCACCTTTAATCCAAGCTTTTCTTTAGAGCACTCCCGCACCACCCTAGAATCATCTCTCCTGCTTATTGTTCTTCATTAGTAAGTCCTTAATGGTTGCTTGGCAACAACAGCTATTTTTCCTGACCTTGTTTCAAACCCAATTATCCCATAACTGCTAAATGAAGCACCTTGACTACTAACTTGAGTATTGTTTGTGACACCGATCGTGTCATTTGACACGTGCACAACTCTGCGTATCTGTACTGCGACGACCGGTACCAGATTCAGCTGTGGGTTTGCTTTATAATAACCTACAACCGCCTGCATCATTGGAAATGGGTCCAAATTTGAGATATCTTAGTTGTTGTTCCTGGCTTCGCAACTGTTTGAACTTCGCAGATAGTGACTGTCTAGTTGTGACAATAGCCAATGACTTGCTACCTCAGACGAACAGCTATGTAGTTGTTATTGAAGTGCTCACTGCGCCAATTCTGTCCACCGGTGATGTAGACGGTAATGACTTGGCTGTCATTAGATCTGGGCCTGCTTGGAAACATGTCCTGGTCACTATTGGACTGCTACCGTTTTCAACCTTCCTCGTCCTGTTCTAAGCGTAGGTAGTTGAGAAATCCTGTAGGTGGTTGACACTTCAAACGCCTTAGAGCAGGCATGTCAAACATGCCACGCTTTGCAAGAACATCTGCTGCCCACACAATGGAAGATGTTAGGTATATAAATAAATAGCTAAGTAGGGACTTCAATTCGTTTTCATTGTGCGGTTCTCACGACAACAGATGTGATCCATGCCGCCCTTGAATTCTCAGTTTAGCTTGCCTTTCCTGGAGTTATTCCAAGAGCCTATTAAGGGAGTTGTACTGTTGTTCTCCCTCACAACCGGACTCCAACAATCCATTATTGGAAATCCGGGAGACATCCTTGTCTTCACAGAGCGGATAGCTGTAACGCCGGGCCACTAACTGTACAGTACTATGACATACATTGCAAGCTTTTCACTGAAATCGGATGCCATTCACAAAGAGTAACCGACTCCTGTTCCCGCTGTTCAGGCACAGGTCATAGTATATTTGCGTGCGCTTCTGGTGATTGGTATAGTGTTTGGGCTCATTTTCTTTACTGGCAATATCAGTGAATATTTGGGGGACCATTTAAAATGCGCCCCAAAATATTTATTCGCACCCGGTAAGATTACACTTATGTCTCTCTGCTGTTGCACACCATGCGATAGCTTGTGCTTCCTTGTGTTACCCTCTTCTATTTAAGCAGCTGCACACGTTTTTCTATTATTGTTATTACTTACTATGAAATTCTGTTTGTAAAAATCCTACCTCCTATGCGAACCGTATCCAGCAGTGCTGAGCGTACTGCATATGTGAGGCATTCATGCATCGATAAACATACTCCTCCACTCACATTGGTAGCACGCAATCATGTGACAGGTATTGTCCTTGGCTAGGCATCTTCAGCAGTCGAAATTACTTCAACTAGAATTAGACGAGCTTGTGAACTTGTCCTCATTTTCATCCATTGTTTCTGACGGCTCTAAATATTCGGTTTTTAATATTTCATTTTTTCGTGATCCTTATTTGTTACTTCTCTTCTGTACCTCTTCCTCTCGTTGCGGATGACCTGGTTTGTTCGCCACCAGATATGTTGCGTTCTTTGATTCAGAAACGTTTCTTGGATGACGCGTGATTGTGAACTCTTCTTAAAATAAGAACATCGTTTTTTAATCTCCATAATAGCAATCTTCCCGTACCACGTGATTATATCATCTGTCTGCTTGGCACGGAGCGTCTATACTCTTTCCCGGCCAAGTTGTCCTCTTGGGCAACAGAAATAATCTGAGGGGTCATTCAACAAGAGTCTACTCATATTCCAGTGGTAAGGCCAGGTGTCAACTCGTTCTGTTGCTCTATCATCGCCTAATACTAAGTACTTCCATTCGGCAGTGCATGTGCTCCCCGGTCGCCATATGGAATTCGCATGCGTTGGTGCGACAAAACTGTCCACGACCAACTGGACGAGGCAAGTTACGGACTTTGGTATCCGATGGCAACAACCGGCGTTATGTACATTAGACACTGATAAGTGTAGCGAAATCCTGTGTTATGTTGCAAGGGTAGTGTGTGACTGACGTAACACGGAAACAGCAAATCCCTCATCCTTGCTATTTGGGGACCGTGCTACTGTGCGATCGCGTTTTAACGAGATGACGCATCCAAACGCCTACGCTGTCTGGGTCATATTTCTTTTACTTCTGCCGATTAGGCATCGCAGTGTGCGTTGCTTACCGTTGTTACGTCTGACTGATTGAAGTTAACCAGTCGGTGAAATCGTATAATAGTGCGGTCTGATGTATGCTGCTGCAACAGATGCTGGTCCCACGATATGCCACATCAGCATTTGGGGATCCTATCCGACGTGGTTTGGTCGTGAGACCAATGGCACCACAGCATTCGACTCCTTCCTTTTGGCCATAAATTTTCAATTTCATCATTTCTTTTCATCATTTTTCCCAACCACCTTTGTTCGCTTATTATTTTTTTCTGTTTACTTTCAAGGTTATCAAAATCATGCCGACTGGATCCGTTTTGTTTCTGTGTTGAATTGGTACTTAACCGACCGAAGTGCACAGCATTGAGAAGCATTGCTAATGTCAGCAGTTGCTGCAGCTCATCATTGCTGTTGTAAAAATCCACTAAACACTCTACTATTGGAGCAAGTAGAAATGATATCTGCTTAACTATCGGGATTTCGCCTACGATAATGCGCAAATACCTGGCTCGCAGTAACGTGGGATTCACGGATATGTGCTGTTATTATCTGAGTTGAATAGTTACAATGTGTGAGTCCGGGAGCTCTTTGAACCGATGCACTGATTTCGCGTCCACGATGTGTTTTTACGGCCTGTCCTACTCGTCACTGCTTCGAGCATTTTATCCATTTCCAAGAGGTGCTCGTTACTTCTATGTTGCACTTTACACCATGATCATACTTTTTCAACTAGCCGACTACAGTTTCCATAGCACGTGTAAATCGTTGCTTTTACGGGTGATTCGTATCGATACTTTCACTACATAGCAGTTCCTATTTCTTACAGGACTCTGCTGTTAATTCAAATGGAATAGTGCTCACAGATACAGAGGATACTGGCATTTCCGTTTGTTCCTCAACCCACGGTACCAAGACCACCTTTCCTGTCGCGGAGAGGTACCAAGATGATCTGGATTTGAATCGAACAGCGCATTCCCTTGGCCAGTTGGATGATTCTCTTCTCGTCAGTGCGTCTATCATCAGTTTGGCACCGAGTTGCACTGGAACCTATATTTTGGATGTGGATGACACACTTGCATCGCAGGGCGTTCCACCGGTAGTGATTCAGAGTCGAGAAGACCTGCTGCACTCTGTGGAATCACTATCACAACCTCGACTTCTGGCGGATCCAAAGTCTATTGATGATCTCACACCAGCGCAGGGTCATCACTCTTCACGGTCCTTGCTGTGGATGACCACAGGTGACCAGCGAGAAGACTATGTTATGATCGGATCCCCGCCTCAGCTACTAACGCCGCGACATGTCTCCCACTTTGATGCCAACGGTTTAACAGTAACGAACAGTTTGGGTGTTCCTCATGAGTACAGAGGATTTGGAACGGTAAACAAGGACTCTAATCTTAAATCGCCTCAGCCTTCCCCGAAATCGCCTGAAGCCATCACGAGTAGCAACCGCTCAGCTCCGGTTAGTTTGCGTGGTATAATTAACCATTTGGAGCTTCCATAGTCACTTGAAATGGGGATACACGATTTCTGGATTTTACCACCCAAATTTCCTCATGTGACTCAGGTCTCTTATCATTGTGTCTGGAACGATGACACGCACAGGCGAATGCTAGTAAGATAAGGTCACCCATCTCGGACATTTGACACTTTTCTCTAACCATATTACTTATGAGGGTTTTGTCCTGTTTGCTGGATCCAGAATGGGGTGAAGTACGTTGAAACAGAAAGCTAGCCATCAGACCATCAAGCATGCTATTCGGAGGAGCCTTATTATGTTCGCACCCGAAGCCCATAAATAGAGACAGTATCTCATATGTCATGAATCTGCCATTGACACAATGTAACCTAGCAGTCAACGTCCTATGGGTCCATCTCGGCCGTGACGAATGCTTTCGGACCGATCGGTAAACTTGCGTTGACGTAACATTGTAGATGACTCGTCCGCACAATCCATATTTACAGCATAGTATCGAGGGCGAGCGGATAGTATTTAATTGGCTAGCTGGATGGCTCATTGATATCCATCTGTTCTATCCAATTAGTGAGCCCATCGCACCTCCTTTTTTGGATCGTATTTTCTTCATTGTGCGACACAACCCGTACCCTTTCCCACTGCTACCATCGAGGGTTCACACCATCTTTAGGACATTCGAAAATATATCGATTCCCATGTAATTTCCTATGCATACGGAGAATTGCTCTCATCTACTGGAACATTAGGTGAGCTACAGTGAGGTCCACTGGTTTTTTTTGGCAAGAAGTCCTCTGGTATCTCGAGTTTTTGTTTAATCTTAACCGTACATCCGTCGACCTACTCCCCAGTAGTGTATTGTACGCCCTGGCTTCACCAAGTTTGGCGAAACGGCGAGGTGGCTAGTCGATGAGGTGGAGTATAATCATGAATGAAATGACCGAGAGACTTGGTCAGCCTTGTGTATGCCATCTTCGTGAATAAGGGTCCAGGGATGGTCCACACCAGTGGTTGGAGACTCTATCAGGCATGATGTAGTCGCGCATTCAGTGGCGTTCCTGCATTCGATTTCTTGCACCTAGCTGTAAGTTTTCATTCCGTTCCGATTAGTTTAACACACTTCTTTCTCGATTTCAGTGTTCTATTTGCACTCAACCTCAAGTTCTTGCCCTTATTCTTGCGATGTGAGTCATGGCAACTGGACCCACCGCACTCCAATGCTGGGACCATAGTTTTTCAACTGAACTGAACCTTATGTGCGGACATAATACGTTACAGGGTAAATGTAACAAAGTGTTGTTCCAAAAGCCCTTTGGAAAGCAAGAAATAAAAACATAAAAGTCTTCTTTCGTTCCACAGACGACCGTTCACAATGCATGTTTCTCCTCAAGGTGTTAAACACACCAGCTACGATGCCGTCTCGTGTTAATGACGCCTAACCACCTGCGTTTGCAGGTTCCTTCTGGTGACACTTTACCGCCCGACGACTGTCGGGAGTCTGTTCGCTCCGTACGATAGAGGAGCATGTCCTAAGATAATATAGGCACACAGTTCAAAGGATATAAACTTCCAGGCATTCTTAATTACTACAGCATATCCGAACGTGCTACCTTCCAAATAGTATAATTGCTCACCGCACATGCCTATTCCACATCGCTTGTTCTATACAATCTGGCTTTTCACCCTTCAGGTCGAGGCTAATCACGTTCCTCTGGAGCTTCACGGACAATCGGAAATTTTCCACAACATCGGGACGGCAGTCCAATCTTCCCATCGAGACATGAATGCGCTACCCAGCACCACAAGCGGCTTTAACGGATCACAAGCCTCCGTCGCATCTGGTGCGTCTCATTCACTCTAGTTGCGCTGTCACTTGGTCTTCATATAACGTGACTATCTATCTAGTTTTGCGTTCTCAACGCTAATAAACCTGTTTACACTGTTCAGGCTGCCATTTGAAAATCCTTCCTGCTCTCTTCGACTCTTAGGTCATAGTTTTACTTGATTTTTGCTTTATAGTTGAGGGAAACCCAAATCCTGCTCATTTCGCCCACTACCGTTCACTCTGAATTCTTTTCGTGTCCCTAATACTAGGATAAAGATCATCAGTACGCCGGCATATCGTACCGACGCCTTGCTGCCACGCGACCACACAAAGTAGCGTGTTGTCTGGGTATACCGCGAGTCGTCCGCATCTACTCTCATTCGAATCAGCGACCGACTTGCATGACAGGCGCCTACCTCTTTCGGTCAACGGCCGACCCTATGATATGTGGCAAATGTTCACTCCATCGAAATGGCATTCGAGAAGGTGGCAATTCCTATGTACCGGTCGCATTGCAACGTTTATTTCATGTACACATTCATCAGCCTCCATGCCCACAGAACACCTTGTTTCACCGCGTGCATGTAATTTCCCCGACTGATTATTGCATTAGGGTTTCTCATTTGCTTGTGAAATCGAGTAGCCCACTCGACAATTGTGTTGGTACTGACCACTTCTAGCCTGGAAAAGATCGTTCCTGTGAACTCGGATAAGCTTATCACACCATTGTTTTAAATGTTGCCGGTCGCGATACATATATGTGTATCCGTTGATGTATGTCTGCATTCGTCTCCATGGATGCACACCAGTGGTGTGTTCCTCAAGGACAAGAAGACAGCGTCCGTCAGTTTGTTTCTTCAAGCCCTCAATAAGCTCACAATTTGGGCTGACGAGGATTACGCTACCCTTTCCTCATTGTCGCGCTTTTCGGTCACCGGTGGGGGACACATTATGCCACAAGCAGTACCAGTGGACCGGTGCTTCAACAATCGGACACACATTGGGCTGCTGTTTAGCGGCTCCTTCACTTGTTTATCATGTTGCAGGATTCAGTGTTTCAACGTGCTACATTATCTTTGCATTCAATTTCATACAATTTGAACTCTTATGTTGCAACCCACTTCCCTTCGAGAGTGGCCCAGAAGTAACAATATCTGTTGCAGCAGTGCTATGTGATGTAGAAATGTAGCACTGATGTCTTTTCACTGCAAATGGGGAGTAGTCGAACGTTAGCGTCAAGCGTTGGCTTTTAATGACCAACGATATAATGCCGTTTTAGGGCAGATTTTCTCGCGCTAAATCCTTCCGGTTTGTCGCGATGTGGGAAATGCAGTCGGTTAAAAATTAGCCGAGTAGAAGTGACCATAGATCCTTGTCATTAGATCCAATATTGGACTTAGTTTTCTAACTGAGCCATGGAGTCTCCACCACCGATATTCGATTGATCTTCGTTCAGTTCCTTTGTATTCTCCCGTCGAATGTTCGACTGGCTCTTCTGCGCTTTCGCCCGACCAGGTGCAGTAATGGTGAACCCTAAAATGTTATGTTTGGATGCTGGCAGGTTTGTGACCGTCAGAACTTGTGTTCTGCGACTGATTCCAGTTAAGTGGGCATTACGGTGTGATACCAACAGTCTCTTTACGAAATCTCAACTGGTTTTAACGTCACTCTCCACTGGTTTTAACGTCACTCGGTCGATCCCTTACTGGAGGGGCGCGATGCCATGCAGGTGAGCGACTCCACAGAACACTATCCACCTTTGTAATCCTTGCAAACACTACGCTTTAGTGTTGTACAACCTTCTCTTCCTCAATAATCTATTATTCTACACTCTACAAATGATTGGGAGTTAGAAAAGACAACGGTCTCATTTTGATCAACAAATGCGAATCGAGCGATCACCACTGGTGGCTGCTCGTACCTAGTCTGAGTAACTGACATGTTAGTTAACTTATTCTTGCACTTTGCAGTTGCGATACATGCTAGAGTGTGCAACGATTTACGTCAGCCTACTGAGCACTACTCGCATGGGAACTGGTTCCTCTTTAGATGGGCGATATTGTCAGTGCATTCTAAGCTCTTTGAGAGTGCTCATCGCATACAGACTCATTCAGACAGCCACCACACATAGGACCATTTCATCCTATTGGCACTCTTCAGTCATGCGCACTAGTCGAGTCCTGCTAGCTTTGATCCCATGATGCCTGTGCGCTCCTGTTTGTAGGCCCCATCTTATACCACTCTCTATCGTCCAGACGACCGTCAGGAGTCTGTGCGCCCAGTACAATGGACGAGCACTCCCTAGTAATTATTTAGACACATGCTTCAGAAAATATAAACTTAGAAGCATTCATGATTACTGTAACATATAATTGATTTAATCCACTTAGCAATGGGTGACGGCGGTGGACCGCTATGATAGATGAATAGCTATGCGGCTGCATCTTTACCGTCATGCACTTTACTGCCATGCAGTGAAGGGGTTAACTCCTGAGCTCCCTCGCTAAGTCGACACTAATCATGCGGCAATATAAGGTAACTCGAGCGATTAGGTGGCTGGATACGTGCTGCTGTCGAGTCCCGACAGAGTGGAAGGGCAGTCTGTCTGAACCCGACAATGATGAAACATATAAAAAGCAGACCCTGCTCCAGTTTCCCAATATTATCAACTTGTTAGCTGATAAACTCTGCTTCCATTTGCGTCATCACTTTCCCTACTGGTCTATTCAAATAGCATTTATTTATTTATTCATGTTCATTTATTCATGTTCAGTTTAGTAGCTGTACATATGCACCAAAACAGACAGAATGGGAGATTTATTTGTTGTGTCTGAGGTGACGTGGTTGATAATTGTCGACTGGCTCGGGCGTTTTGAGTGGGCTGTACGCTTGGCGTAAACAAGTAAGAGGTAAAATGCAAAAAACAATATTGGAAATAGTGATGAAGATGTTGGAAGCTGCATTTTGCTGCCTGACATGTTTACACGAGGGCAACTAGGGGTGAATAGACGAGTAAGAGCAGATTAGATAATAAAAATGGATGGAGATAGGTTCAGTCAGCATTTCCTTCTCAGGTCACACTTTTGTTACGGTTTTAAGGTAGGCGTGGTTGAGGAAGGAGAATATGAAGAGTGGAGTCAAAAATGGTTACCTCCATCTCATTTTGCAATTCCTCTGTAATCCACAGTTCTTGGTGTGTCTGTGAGGTATGCGTTCCCGAGCAAAGAAGGAAGCTGGGTCGAGTGAAGGGAGTTCTATATATATATATATATATATATATATATATATATATATATATATATATATATATATATATATATATATATATGGTTGGCGGCATCCGGTTTCGGATTTGCCTGTCACTGTGGCCAGCCACAGGACGCTTGCGCCTACAAAGGGACCACGGGTGGCTTGCGCTGCACCACCCACAGCTCCAAACATACACCCCATATCCAGTTTAAACCCGAAGGAATAAGACCGGGAGGCATGTGGATGGGAACCACGTTTCATCAACGGAGCCGGCCCACACTCCTTCACAGGCAAACACAAGCACACTGTATTTGGGAATCAAGCGCACACAAGGCGGTGGCTGGACCGTAGTCCGCTCCACACTGAGTGCATGAAACCACTCTTTGAGCCTAGCACGGCCACAAGGATCGTACACCCCGTCCCCTCCAGCAACGACCAACTGTCTCCTGGAGCCAGTATGGTTGAGGTAGTGGGTAATAGACAGGTAGGCACCTTGTCAACATGCACATCAAGCGTAGCCACACCAGGGATATCAAGCAACAGCCAACCACCTGGAACGACAAGATGAAGTAAAACAAATTCAATAATGCATACAGATACGGTGGCATAACTCTTCGCTAAATTAGCATATGAAGTAAGTTGGTTAACAACGAATCCGCGATTAGGAAAAAATGTCCACAAGTTAGTTAAAAATGCTACAAACGCAACAAAATTACCGAACATAAGCGCAATTAATGTAAGCAACCTGACCAGTTAATAGAAGAGTATTCAGGTAGGCACAACAAACCAAATAAAGTGGAATGAAATTTATCCAGCTTAAAAAGACCTAGTTTAAGTGTAAGTTGGTTTAGCCCAATTATACATCGAAGCAATTCTAGGGAACCACAAATATCGCGATCTATATATATATGCACCTCAAATAGCAAGTTTTCATTGCAGTTTATTTGCAACCTTTTTTTACCTATTTTACGGTTAGGCAGTTTGAAACTGCTCTTTTAAAAATTGGTTGTAATTCGCCTGCATGCCTTTCTGTATCTAATTGTATCTGTTTAGGTTTTAATTTTCTTCGAACATTCGTTCTCGTTTTGAGCACCTGTAGTTTGCTCTTGATGTTCCTAATTCTGTATCTATCTACTTTTTTTGTTGCGAACACATGCTTATAGACCAAGTCAAATGGGGATGTTGGTTCTAGTTTCATGCTTCTTAGCCACAGTTGCTCCAGTTGTAGTATCTTTTAACCTTCAACGTAGTTTGAACGATGAGTTAAAGAGCGCCTTTGTTTATGATCGCTGCGCGTTTTCTAGCACACTCGGTCTCGTTTCCTGCCGCTTTTAAATATAACCGAGCAGTACTCTAGCACAGGGTACGAGTGCAGTTTAGGTTCATGTGTGGGGAATCATTTTAAGACGAACTTTGCACTTCTTCTTAGTCTGGCCGTTATGAATACAACTTGCTCACCAAAATTTAGATGCTAACGTACGAATGCCTAGATCACGTATAGCCTTATTTCATAGAATGGGTTTACCGGCGAGGTAAAGTGCGTTTCGCGAAAATTCGCGCTTGCTTGTCAAAATACTGCATTCGTCCGCTGAGAAAGACATTTGCCAATCGGTGCACCACGATTCTAAGCCCAGCAGTCCACGGTTACTAGGGTATCGCTCGAACACGGGATATCAAAGCTGTATAGTATTTTTACGTCATTCGCAAAGATTTGTGGTGTCCCAAAATTTATTTTTCAGTTATATCTTTGATATACATTAGAAAGAGCAAGGGACCTAACGCACTACCTTGAATCACATCACTGTTGATCTTCGGCGGTGAAGACTTAGTATGCTCTATTCGTACCTGTTGGTTACGCATGTGACAGTAAAGCATGAGCATCTCATTCTTGCATCGCTGGCTACTTTAGAACGTCGACTTCTGCTCATCTCCTGTGGCCCAATGCTCTTCACGGACTCGTAAGAGTCGGGTTGCGAGTTCCAGCCACACAGGAAACAATTAGAATGCATGTTGCTGGCAACTCCCGAGAGGAAGAAGTGGTCGTCTAATACTTTTCAGAAGTGCATTGACTGCCTGATTAATTGCATCCATGAAGAATCCCCTTCAGGATTGGATTTAAATTTGTTTCGATGACAGCACTTAGCAAATGTGGATATTAAATCTCGACTATCAGGCGTCGAGTCCCGTTTCACTTCTGCTGATGATTTAGTACACTTCTCCATTAACCGGGGCACACCTTAAATCAATACTCTCTAGTATTTGTTCTTACTACAGATATGTATATGTCGCTTTGTTTTGCAGCTCAATTTTTCGCCCAGGACTCAACCCACAAAGTCAATTCCGATGCTCTTTTATCCGGCACGCGATCGCGCTCCAGACCCAGTGCGTACCCCGTAAGGTTACCGCGTCCTGCGCAATCTCCAACTCTATCTTCCGAATCCTCTTCACCCACGCAACAATCCACCACCCCACCATTTGCGGATAAATTACGCGATCACAAAGTGTCTCCGCTTCTTTTATCAACCACTGGCACTGCTTTGTCGGTGATTGAACCGCTGGCTGATATACATGACTGTTATCAGGCACTACATGCATCCGTCAACTACCTGATCCAACAAAGCGACGGTTCTGTGGGAGCTAGGGAACAGGGACCTCCATGTGAGAAGTTGGGGCATCAAAACCTTGAACGTCCCATGAACGTCCTACGTAGCCTGAACAAGTGGAGCACTACTCGTGCCTCGATAGCTCCAATCTGGCGCAACGATATGATACCACCACTATATGGTACTCAGAAATTCGTCGGGAGGCAACACTGCTATTGTCTCCAACGTCAGAGTACGGCGAGTCTGGACTCGGCATTAGACGTACGTTTTATCCATTCGCTAGCTGAATTGTTCAGTGAAAGTTCTCTTAAATTAGTTTGCTTGTAGACCGCTTTCATTCTCGAGATTTGTTATTTGAATGTTGGAAAGACACTGTGAAAACTCCGTTTTGTTTCTGCGAACTACTGTCCTCTTTACGGGGAAGCCCTGGCACAAGTGTGCTAAGGTCTTTAGTGTCTGCCTATCTTAGTTGTTACTTGACATGTAGCTTCGGCTTGAAGCCAACATCATCCAATCCAAACATAAAAGAACCGCATTGTTCTACTGAATGTATTCATCGCAATACAACCACTTACCACTTTTTTGCTTTGTGCACTTCCCGTTTTACAAAAATCCTGACAGAAAGACTTTTATTAGCGAGCATTACCACAGCTGATAGTCCTCTTGTCAGCAAAATTTCGCTTTGCAAACAAGGACCGTTGGTTGATTCGGCACACAGCCGATACCGTTATGCTACCAAGCACTTTAGTAGCCTTCACTCTTATCTCAACCTCAATTCTTGCCTTGTTTTTTATGTGGTTCTGGAGATACCACATAGAAGCAAGGTAAACCCAGGATATAACCAAAACTTCGTCGATTCGGCACTTCGACATTCGTGCGATCTTGAGTTTCTTTGTTCCTGAATCAATTCGCGCAACTCTTTCGTTGTACGACGGCTTCCATAACTAGGTTACGCGTGCTCTGCTGACTTGCGCTCGGGATTTTTTCATGATGCATTACCTGCTTTGGCCTTTTGATGCATTTGCTTTCCCATGCCTTAAACCAGAGATGGGCGGTTGGTTGGGCTAATCAATGAGCCCATGTTTTGACGCTCACAGTGCATATCCCACGATGGCCACATTACAGAAGTTCCACTCCTCCTCAGATTCGACAAATATGGATGCAGCGTGTGTTTATTGATTATAATGTTACCCGGAATCTTTGCTAAATGGGATGCATTCGGCAATTAGCGTTACGTGATTATTACGTTTAATGGTGCATTTATCTTTTGCTACCAGGGTTTTCGTGATGTGCTCGCTTCTGCTTGCGGGAATCATCCAGTCACTACCACTTGCAATGGCTCGGCGTCCGTCCCACAACCGAGCTCACCGTTACAAGCGGGTAGCAGGCCATTTCCGTGGCTTTTCCCTACCGAAAATTCTGCCCAAGAAAATACGAGCAATCCACCATGGGTGCACCCTTCTACCACCTCAGGTGGTGTTCAAAAAGGTAGTTGGTATGTGATCCAACCGCGGACGTCAGATCATAGCTTCCCGAGGTGAGTGTGTGGACAAAGCCAACCTCTTCAGTAACGTCTATTATCTGTCCCCTATGGTTTGTTATAAATCCATCATTGCGCGTTTGCTTTACAGTTCATCCACGAATTTCCACGGTCGCGATACCGCGGGTGTTGCAGCAACCTCTGAACCCCATTCTGCCCCGCCCCCTCCAGATAGCGCAGCAGCTTGCACCCATGTGACCGACTCTCAAACCCTCACAACACAGCAGGTGACCCAAGGTTCGTTGCTTTATTATAACATAATGAAAATTGTCCCCTCTGCACCTGTCTAATGAAGCGCACTCTCTTCTTCAACCATACCGATCAAATCGGTCGAAAGAGATGGCCACTCCTAAAGACAAACTTCCTTCCTATCTATCATCGAGACTGACTGAAGTGTGCAACCTGCAACTTCCGACTGTCACCAGTATGTTATCAGCTCAGGGCCTTATCCTCTTCATTTACATGCCGAAACTGAGTTGAACCCTGAAATCTACCCTACGCGAACACGCAGGCGATTACAATGAACTGCAGGACACTGTAACCTTACCGGATACGCACTGCGTCTGGAGCACAGTTGCGTGCCAGATAAAGGAGCAGTGTAATGGAACTCATGGGGATGAGTTCTGTGAGGAAAACTGACTTGAGGACTGAGCCACTTGCGAGGAAGTGGTAAGTAAGCACCTACCAAAAATAGAAACTTCGGCAAACAATGAAATCGCGTTTTGTGCATACGTGGTGGAAGAACCTAGGTGGCGATCGCCCGAACCGAAAACCCTAAAGATCTATGCCAGAAGATGAGTGCAAGAGCCAAACTATTTCGCTAATGTGATGGAACGAGTAAGAAAGCAGAGGCTTAACAATCTTCCTAGGATGACTAGAATGAGAACCACATCGTAAAATGTAGAAAATAGGGATAAAGGGGAAATCGTTTTGGTGCACTCTGCACAGTGTTCACATAGGAGTATGCAGAAAAGAGCCAACCTCCATTGTGTAGGATAGTGTTGCTTGTGCAATCTTCATCACATTTTATTGTCTGTCGATGTACACAGGCTATATCTCGGAATGTAGGTTTATTAGTTAAATGTCAAGGCCTTTTGGGAGGACGTTCTATATCTGGCAGACACGAAGGGAGTAAAACTTTCACTGATATTCTAATCGACTTTATTGCGTGGTCAAGTTGAGCTGATGACCCCTCAAATTCGTGTTGTGACTGAGTTGCAGTAGGTGACGGCAAATATAGTTGGGGTTCCTCAAAATCTGATACGCTATTATTAGGCCGCCACTTACTCGCTGATACCGACCGTTGTGAAATCTCCGAGTCTTCAGCCTAAGTTGATATGGAAGATGAAACGTCCCTTTGACGTGTTTGGCGGCTCTTTGTTGTGCAGTCTCGAGCATTGCGAGATCTTGCCTTTTTGTAGGGCTGCCAGGCCTGGATTGCGTATTTCACATGTGGCCACACGCATATGTTAAGCAGCTGCGAACAAACAGATAGATCAAACCGCACGAATACCCTCCGCAGCGTGCCAGCGTGTTGGTTTCCAGTCTTTCACGCCTTCTCAGATTGTTCTGAGCAGCCCATATCAGCGTGAATTATTACCTCAAGATCGCGCTCCCGAGTGACTGTTTGCAGGACATGGTCTCCAAGCTTGTATTTGTTGTTTGGATGGTGACGAACGTAGGTGCCCTTACACTTAGACGAAATATACTGGAGCAGATTTTGGAGTAACCACCGATACGCTCTGTCCATGTATAACTGAAGTGCATCGTGACCTGCTGGGTCCGCGCTCATCCGCCATATCTTCACATCATCAGCGAACGGTTAGAAAATTAACTCAATCAAACGCATGAGCTTGTCAATGAACACGAGAAACAGACGCGGTCCTAGAATTGACCATTGTAGAACTCTACATTCGACATAAATCGGATCGGACAGTGCACCTCAAACTCTAAACTGCAGTTGCCGACTCTCCAGGAACTTCCTGATCCACCCAAAGATACGATCCACAACTCCATAACTTTCGAGCATGTGAAGCAGATTACAATGGTTCAGTCGGTCAAAGGCTTTGGCGAATCCGAGCTAAATGGTGGTGGTCCCTTTCCCTTCATCAGCCGCTTCCGTCCTATTACTGCTTATACTCATTGGGTCATCGTCATCATTATAAGGTTAGCTAGAGGTGGGAAACACCTCAGCTACTGTGCCAGAATACATAGAAGAAAAAAGGAGAGAAAAATGCGACTCCTGCAAGCCAGCTGAGCTACCGGTAACGCATGGGCATCGTTCCCATAAGCTACCAACCGGCTACTGTGCATCAAACAAAATTAATATGCAAAATTGTATAAAGCTAAATCGTGAGATCGTGGATGGAGCGAGGGGCTAAGAGGGATGGGGTAGTACAAAGAAACAGCGCGAACGCCACTGATATCGGTTCCTAGCCATATCAACAAGCGTATCCAGCCAAACGCGTTCATCGTCTTTCGGAACCCAACCAGAGAGCCGAGACGCTCCAACCGAGGCCAGCTTCGAAGTGAGGGCCAGGTTTCACAACCGTGCAGTAGGATCGAACGTACCGCTGCATTGTACACTCTACCCTTCAGGGCGAGAGTGATGTCGCGCCGGCAAAGGTTAGCAAAAGCGCCCCGAGCTTTTGCTATACGGTTCGTGATCTCATCTTCAATCCCACGGGCGCTGATACAACTTCCCAGGTAGTTGAATTTTTGAACGACTTATAGCTGATCCCCACCAAGGGTCAGTGCGGGAGGCTGTCCAGACCAATCTTCGAGGAACGCTTTGCACTTCAAGGGTGCGAAACGAAGCCCGAAGTGACGGACAGCCAGTGCTAATCTGTCCAGTGCCGCTTGGCATGCCTGTGATCTGTCACAGATTAGGCAATATCATCAGCATACTCAAAGTCAAGAATTCGTTCTATTGGAAGCAGATCCACACCTACTAAGTCGTATCCTGTAAACGAGATTTCCATGACTTCATCAATAGCGAAGCTGAAGAGGAAAAGTGACAGCGGGCATCCTTGTCTCACACCGCTGGAGATATTAAAGGGCGACGACAACTTGCCGTAAGTCCTCACACTGCCCGAGCTACGCGCACATAATGCTCGGATAATATTTACATATTTCTCGGGCACACGTTTCCTGAGTAGACAGTCCCAAAGTGCACGTCTATCCACCGGATCGAATGCAGCTTTGAGATCTAGGTACATGACAACGGTGGGCCGCCAATATATGTGACGGTGCTCCAACAAATGACGCAAGGTGAAGATGTGGTCAATGCAGCTACGACCTCGAGGAAATCCGGCTTGGTCTTCACGAATATGGCTTTCACGAGTGCCAGTCAGTCTGTGAAGGATGACAGAAGCAAGCAATTTGGAGGCGATGGAGATCAGACGGATTCCTCTATGGTTGCCGCTTTCCGATCGTGAGCCTCCCTTGAAATTGGGACTATGACGGAGCGGCTCCAGTCGGTTGGGAAAGTTTCCTGCTCCAACAGTTTCACTAGTAACTCGTGTAAATCATCCACTAGAGTAGGTCCCCCGAATATGAAGAGAGCTGGAGGTAGGTCATCTGGTCACGTGGCTTTATCTAACTTCAACAGCGCGATGTCACGTTCGATTTCTGAGCGAGAGGGTGGATCCAAAGGGACAGCCCAGGGAGCGGGCCAATCAGCTGTCTGCGAGAAATCCAACAATTTCGGCCCATCAAATTGCCTAACTAACTGCTCAGCTCAACGCTCCAAGCGTTTTGATTACTTGTGGATAGTCTGTCCACTCTACTCACGTATAGTTTCATTAACACCAGGTCTCCTGCTGCCCGTTTCCCGTATCAGATGGAATAACTTACGATGGTTACCAAGGGCAGCGGCCATTTCCATCTCTGAAGCACGATGAGACCACCAGGATTCGCGGTCTCTCTTCAGGCTAGCGCGGAGTTTTGCCCGGAGCTCTTTGCGAGTTTCATTGTGTTCGCTTCCAGTCGGAATATGCTGGCGAGCATGGATAAGTTCTAGAGACTTTGAAGAGACCCAATGTCCAGGTTGGCGATTTGACGTACCACATGAGGATTTGCCTGCTGCTAGTAAGGTCTGGTGTATATGAGACCAGTGAGCGCTTACTCAACCCGCATGACAGCGTACTTTGATAGGCATTCAGAACAGCTGGCTTCGCCAGTTGGCTGGTGTCAATGCGCGCACAACGTCGCCTTGGGCGTCCGCCGAAGCGCATCCGCATGTCAGCACATACAAGTGCATGGTCAGTGTCCACACATGTGCTCCAACTCGAGCGATAGTTCTGGACGCAGCCTTTCCATCGGTAAGTTATCGCAATGTGATTGATTTGCGTCCATAGGTGGTTCGAGGCTGGTGGGCGCCAAGTCACCCTCCGGCGGGTGCTGTGTCGGAAATTAGTGTTCGCAAGAAATAAGCGAGCATCCTCACACAAATGAAGTAACCGCTCACCGTTATCATTACGGGAGCCTACACTGTGCTGGTCGCCCAGATGCAATTCGTCAGTGGATAATTTTCCAACTTGAGCGTTCATATCCCCAGCCAGCACAACAGTGTCCGAGCTTCTTCTGTGTCGAAGGAGCTCATTCAGTTGGCGATAGAAGTCGTCTTTTACAGAGTCATCGCTAGGGTTTGTGGGTACATAGGCAGCGATAACGAATAGACACCTGTTAGTCACACGCGACCTCGAGGCTTTGAACAAGCCAACCAATCGGACCCCACACAACTGGCTACTGATTGGAATCCAGTCAACTCGAGTACCTTCAGCCCGAGGAGTCAGGGCAATACCAACACCGGCTTGGCCGGTGCTCGAAGCTGCATCGTCACCGCAATGTGGAAGTACTGCTACTGTCACCTGAAAGGGATCGCAGAGCGAGCACAGATCTCGAGTCTTGCAGGCGGGTGGCTAATAAGCAGCAGATATCGATCGAGAGGGTGTCTAATGTTCGGGCAAGTGCTGACTGTTGACCGATCTGCAGCAACATGCGAACATTGAGGCATGCCAATCTGAAAGATAATCTAGGGCTCCAATTAGAAGCCGATGAACTTGGCTTGGCCGCTTGCTCGGATGTGGGCATGTTGACAGGGCAGGATCGACGCTCCGCGTTCGCAGGTGAGTTGAAACTAAAAGGTAAAAGCCTAGCAAAACAAGAGGGGGTGAGCCAAGAAATGGGGGGTTGAAAACAGGGAGGATAAAAGTGAAGCTAGAACGGGACGATAAGGGTGAAAATGCGTAAGAGCGGGAATAATAGGTGGGGAAGGCTTGAGCAGTAACACACAAACCCTTATGCACCCTGCTCGATGCAGCAGATAGGGCACCGTCGATTATCCTCTGCGGTGGTCAGAGCATCAAGTACTGTTTGAAGTGAGATTCATTGTATTGCGTGGGTTGGATACTGTCAGGTTTCCCAGGTCTATAGAAGAGAACAATTAGGGTTCTCAACCAAAGCGTTTGGTTCAAAAACCTGACCGCAAGGCAGCGGGTTTGGTGTTGGGTTAAAAGGTGTCGGTTTTAAGAATAAGGAGCTATCTCAATCTAACCCCGAACCTGCCGGACCAGGAGGCTGAGTTCGTCTGACATCTAACCATTGACCAACCTTTTATGAGCCGGTCTGAAGGCACAAAAACACCACCCAGCATAGCTCATAGATCTCTGAAGCAGGCAAACCATCGCACCACGGTAAGGTCCAACCTCATTGCTGTCGTGCATCACAGCTTCACGACTCAAAAGAAAGGTTTGCTGCCATAGTTGACAAGCCTCAGTGATTTCAGTCTGCCTGCGTGGACTGGGGTGTGATTTTATACTCCTTCAAGCGAAGTGCTCCGATGGGAACTTGTTATCAAGCTTGTGACACTTCTCGAGTGATTCTTCCGCCATGCGTTTGCACTGAAGCGTCATTTTCAACACCTTGGCGCCACGTTTGTCCAACTGGGACGGTCGTGGACATTCAAATTGTTCATTTTGGCTGCTCCAACGTTCTCGTGTGCAACGAAATTAAGGTTTTACCAAATATGTAATAGCTTGTGGGCAATGGACGGAGGTATTAAAGATGTGAAACATTGTTTAACAGCATATTTGGTCATCGTTAGCCGTTTATGATCACATTCACTGTTTGCGTCTGCGAGCACGCATAAACACGTCCAGAGAAGACAGCTAACCGTCATATTGCGCGGACAGGATAATAGATCAACAGTACATCGTGGCATGGGTGCATGCGTAATTACGTTTCACGCCCTCACCAAGTACTGGACCTGTTAAGCACTAATATTTTCTGATGGCAACCCAGTAGAGCTGTATGTTCACCCTTCATGGGTGTATGAAGCGCATTCTCACTCGATTATTCTCTGTGAGTGTCACTCTTGTTTCAAAAACAACCGGCGCTTTCCGTGGAACATGCACCAAGACTGTCGCCTTATCAGCCGCATTAAAGCCCTAGTGCGCAGTTTGATACATAGCCAATTGCTATTTCTTGATGCCAAGAAGCTTCGTACGCTGCGGTCGTCGCATCAGTGTCTTGGCCTACGTGCACCGCTTTACACACGAGTTAGCCGTTCGGCCATACCAAATGGTGACGTACCGACTCTGCGCCACACGTTTTTCGCCTGTTTGCACGCGCGCGCAATATGCCCTTCGCATGCAAATGCTTGCTCGGACAAGCACGCGGAGGAGTAGTATACAGGAGCGGAGGGGGGGGGCGGTCCGCCTCGGGTGACATGTGACAAGGGCCGACATTTTTAGTACGGATGGTTGTTTAATGCCAAGTGTAAATTCAACAAAATTACTTCCATAACTGAAGTGGTAAAAACGAAGGAGAATAATCATCTTATGACCGAAGAAGCAATTGGTACTGCAAACGTTGAGATCCGGACAACAGAAAACGATATTGACAGCAGGAATGCGGCGAGAAATTTTAGTAATGCGGATGCAGAAGAGGCGTGTTAAGGTGGAAGAATTGGAAATGTAACTGCATTTTTGTACGATCACAATCAAATCAACCGACTACATGGATGCCCGCCAAGTGGGCTGTTAAGGTTGTTCATGAAATTCTTACTTTGCTTGTCCGACTCGGATCTAAAGTCTTCCAGCATATCTATCATGAATTTCTAATTGGTACTACCTGAAACGAATGCCGATCTGAGGCTATGGACCTAACAACTAATTGGTGATTTTCGGGATTTGCGAAATGGTGAGCAAAGATTGCGCCATCCATGGTGCATTCTCCTTCAACAAAGGCACTGTGTGGTTTCCGCTGCAGGATGTCTTCAACGGGATAGTCTAGTTTTCGACTGGTTGACGCTAAATCCAAAAGCATGTGAACACAAATCTAGCAACTCGCGTGCTCAGTCATTCCTCAACCGCAATGAGGTAACGATCCGGTGAGTTGAAGGAAGGGCATTTGACCAAATGGAGCAAGTAGTTGCAGAAAATCAGTGGCGTGAAATTTCGCTAGAATACTTGATATCACACCACGCAAAGCATGACA